ACCACCCTTTCCGATAGCGCCACCAGCTATGCCCAATCACCTGGAAGCACGCAAAAGCCGTCAACAGCATATCCTCCATGCAGAACAGAATTATTCGAAATTCTCTTTGTCTTTTTTGATGACTTCGTGAAGTTCCACATTTTTTTTATCTAGATAATTCTTTTCGCTTACTGTTTCGTTGCTGCAGAAAGCCAATACATTTATTTTACAAGTAAATGAACTCATTATTTGTTTTATGAATTTTGAAAGAATTGCAACGTTATAATTTTGAAATACATATATAATTAATTTTAAATGTTTCAAAGTCTAAAACGGTTTTTGAGTTTCCTTGAAACTCCACTGCGTGACAATATCATGGACGGAATAACGTTATGTCTGATCAATATTCCGGAATATTTGAAAGGTAACATCTGGAGGCAGTGTAGAAGCTATCTCGTGATAGCGCCAAAAGATAAGGGATGTAAACAGTATACGCAAAAATTTATCCAGTTAACAAGCTGTCAGTGATTGAGAACACTAGCCAGTTTTGCAGCCGCGTTATCCACAAACGACAAGTGACGAAACATTCATACCTAGCCGTGACCTTCGCAACTGTTGGTAGAGTTTTTAATTTTAACGTGAATTCGCGTGAGACTTGGTAACCTATTGGTAGCCAGATAACAATGAAAACTTAATCTAAATCTCTAACAACTAAACGTGCAGCAAATGAACAGCCCAACTTCACCCGAAAGGGTCAGGTATCACTCATACAAACTAAATCAGAAGAACCGTTATAGAAGGAATAATCCAACAGTCAAAAAAGGGTCTATCCCTAACTAACGTTAAACTAACTAGGTTCTATGAATCGCATTGATCACTATCGTTGTTATTTTTTTCTTAACGCACTGGCCAAGGGTTCCAATCTCGGAAAGCTCCTGAAAGAAGAGTTGTTTCTCTATTTTTCCCGCTCTAGTGTTCCATCAAATGAAAAGTTGATAGAGGACCTGGAGGTAGAGTTCTCTCTGGCTATTCTGAGAGCGGGAAGCTCCTTTTATTCAGCCCCGCCAGGGTAGGGGTAGCTTAGCGCGACATTGCCAGAGATAGTGGTACATTGACAGGGTAGCTTTCCGTGGTACGGTAGCGTTGGTGAGTCGTATGACCGATTACGTGTGGCGCCCTCCTGAGCGGTATTACGACGAGTTACGGAATGCTGAATGTTGGCGATGCGAATTTACAAGCGGTTACAATCTCCAATTATTAAATATTTTTCAATATTTTGCTATGTAGCTTATTATGTATTTAATAAAGTCGATTTTGTAGGTACGACTGAGGCTATAGGTGGTACGAATTAGGCGACTAGGTTCCATAAATGTAACGAAGGTACACTTTAGAGAAACGTAAAATTACCTATGTTGATAAAAGAATTTCAGTTTAAATGATTGTTGATTGAAAGTAGACTAAATAAAAATTAAGTACACGCAGAATATTCTTTTTTATTTCAATTGCACTGAATACTACAGTATTCTTTCCCCAGCAGGTACGAGTTGAGCAACCTTACGGTACGTTGCGTTATCGGTTCCACAGACTTCGGCTTACAAAGGCAGGTATGTAGGTGGATGTTGACTTGTTTAATACTGCTTTTAATTGTTCATGGTTTAGGACTGATAGGTGTAACATACCTGCTCTTACTTAAGATAATGACTCTAAAATATTAGAAACTTTCTTTTGGCCTAAATTAGCGATTTCAAGAAGAAGTTGCTGTGTTTATCATATGATTAAGACGCCATGATCTCACACAACGTGCTAAGCTAAACGAGATCACAAAACTCGCCTCACCGAATTCCGCAGATGATTACATCGCTCAGGCAGAAACACACCTCAAAAGTACTTGGAAAGTGATCTGCTCTCTCCGAAATAGAGCTCCACATCTTCCGCCGCTAAAACAAAATGTGTCTCTGTCTCCAGTGCTCCCCACTACCCAGCCCTGTGGAAATTGCCGACTTTCACGCGCGATCCAAAACTGCCTCCCAAAACTTCTCTCTCTTTGTCTTCTACTTTAAACGTAAAATATTCCTTACCTTCCGATCTCCGAAAAAGAGAAAAGCCCCCAGCCTAAAAAACGGAAGACCTTCAGCTCTCCCTCAAGTTATAAGTCCAACAGCCTGCTCAGTTCGCTGAGATAAGTAGTAGAATTCATCCATCTGGGTCGGCGTCTTGACCACGTGGAACAAAACAAACTCCCCCTCGGCTTTTAACTCGGTTTCCACAGTCACTGTAGAATCGGTCATTGCACTTTCATGCTTTTGCTACACATCCAGCAAGCTTTTATTCGAGTTTAGCATGATGGTATCATCTCCATGCTTATCGCCCTCAACACCCCACTTTTCCTAATCGGGATATGAGATCCTTCCTCTGACAGAAACACTCATGTGCTCTACCTTATTCCCCAGCAAATCCGTCACGGGNGGGTACCTTTCTCTTAAGAAACTCGCTTTTATCTAACTGAATTTTAAGATTATATATTGAGATTTTAGATGTACTAAATGTTCATGAAAAGACTTTGGAAAAGCAACAGTAAACAAAATAAGAACGGTGTAAGTATTTAACAAGCATATAATCAGATACATACGTGTATCTATATTGGTCTGTAACGAAAGTTGTTTGTAAATGAGCTCATACATTTTCAATTTACGCTAATAATAAGTAGTACCTATTTAACCTCACAATTAAGGTTTCCAATTCTCGAAAGGATCAACCCGGGAGATTTAAAAAGAAATGAACGAAATCATAAAAGCTTTTACATTAAAAATCGAAGTTTGTTAGTATTTGTAACTCTGCTTGTACTAAAGAAATACTCATTCTGTTTCTTTCCTTGCTCCATACTTGTTCCATCATGCTGAATACACGCTCACAACAAGCATGACACAAGGAATGGAAAGAACAAACGTGACAACTTTTTTAAATTCAGTACAGGGATTTCTGTCCTTCGATTTCGTAAAAAAGTCTACAGATGCATAAGGGTAGTTCTACAAACTGAGGAATTTTCGGCGGCTCAGCTAAAATATCCTGAAAAATTAGTTACAAACTAATTTATTTGTATAACATACTGTAAAACTAACCTATGTCTAGTTGGTCTCTAAAAATAATTTAGATTTAAAATTATTTTCTTGACGAAATTACTATTCAAAGTGCCAAATTCTCAGGAACCTGCAGTGTCCCTCAAACAAAATCTAATCAAAAGTGTAATGTGATTTATTTACTACCACATTGAGGACAAAAATGAAACCAAAATAAAGAAGTACNCGGATTTTAACTCGGTTTCCACAGTCACCATAGAATCGGTCATTACACTTTCATGCTTTTGCTACACATCCAGCAAGCTTTTATTCGAGTTTAGCATGAAGGTATCATCTCCATGCTTATCGCCCTCAACACCCAACTTTTCCTAATCGGGATATGAGATCCTTCCTCTCTAACAGAAACATTCATGTGCTCTGCCTTATCCCCCAGCAAATTCGTCACGGGCGGTGTCTCCCAAGGACCCAAGCTGTCACTCCTTCCGTTCAATCTGGTCTGCGCAGACGTGCCATCCCTCGATCTTTACTGCTCTTTATGCAGATTACATCGCCTCTTAAACTCCGTCCAAACAATTCTCCAGTATTCCACGAAAATTAACACTCCCAAATTGGTACCGGAAATGGAAACTCTCTATTAACGGCGTCAAGTCTGAAGCATTATTCTTCTTCCGTAGGACCTGGAAACCTCCCCCTCTTACAGTTAACAACCATAACCAGAATTTGTTTGCTAGAAGTTCGTTGGACAACTGTAACCTCTCAGCACGAAAACAAAGAGTCCTCAAAGATCGAAGCTACGAGAAAGTAGTCAAGACGTATGGCTTGATTGATCGAATCATTTGATTACACCTAAAGCTAGTTAAAGATTTAGAATTACACATAGTTCTTTGGTAAAATAAAGACTTCCATTTATGTATTTTTAAACTCTTTTAAGTTAATAATTAAAAAGGATTCTAAGCTGTGAAAAGTAACTTTATTTCTTTGGAATTGAATTATTTGGCTTTGATCATTATTATTATTGACATTGTAAAGATCTCCAATAATTGGTGGCGTTGTAGATATTGCATTTATTGTAATCGTTATTGGATTTATTGTTGTAGTCGTTATTTGAAGTGTTTTGCATTTAACTTAATCTCTTCTATTTCAGATATCCATGTACTTATTGTGTTCATAATTCTGGTTCTAGCCTGTTTCAACTCTTCGGGATCTGAATCTCTAGTCGTGTACAAATCGGCAGAATGCGAGGTGCCGTTAACAATAATTGTAATTACACTGTCATTTAAATCATTCTGTAACCCCACCGTGCTCCACGGATCTGCTGTACCATGGTATGTAATAAGTCGTGTTACTTTCGGTTTTATGTTACCGTAAAACAAATTTGTTCGTTTAACTCCAGTTTGGACTGTTGAAGAAGTAAATCTAAAAATTATATAAATTAGAATCGAATGCTAAATAAGGTAAAGAGTTTATAAAAGAATGCTAATTGTACAGGGTAACAATTCGCTACAATGAGTGAAGGTTTTACTTACTGTTCTCCTAGGACGTCGCTGCACAGTTGATAAAACAGATCTACTGTAAATGTGTCACCAAAAGCTTGTGTTTGATACCAACCAAATTCAGTACATGTTTGATACAGCCATTGACGCGCTGAAATAAATAGAAAATAAGTAATTTTGCTTTTAACAGTTAGGTATATAAAGAGATGGATATCTGTGGCCCTCCCGACCAACCTTTTAATCCAAATTATATTAAATTTGTTTAGTTTTATAGAGGGTGAAACATAACTACTGGAACATAGAGTAATTGGAGGTTATTCGAACCAAAATATGAAGATTGGATTAATCACGCTTTACTAAAATGTTGTTGTAGAGAAAGATACTAGGTGTTGGTATTCTATTTTCTTTTTTAACCGGTGCACTAAATAGAGAGAATAGAACGCGCAAAAATATATCTAAGTGCTAACTGAAGTATGCAGTCGAAAGAAACGAAAATAGTTTTATTTGTTTTATTTTTTGCTTGTTATATTATGATTAGTGGAGCCTCCTTTTCTATATGCAAGTGTCCTAAGTCGGTACATCCCATTTGTGGATCGGATGGAGTGACGTACGGCAGCATGTGCCTGTTAGAATGCGTATCCCGCGCACCTGGAGGAATTGAGTTCTTAAGAGCAGAACACATAGGATTCTGCAAACTAAATCCCCGTGGCGGAAGGCTAGACAGCATGGAACCAGACTACTATGGAAAAGATAGATTTGATGAAGATTCAAGCAGGGATTTCCAATACATGGACTATGTGTAAATAATTAAAACACCGAGAATAAAAATATCTACAATATTTTGTATTTATATTATTTTTTTTAAGTGAAACTCCTTTGGGTTCGATGGGAGCAAAACCTCAAGTCCATGAAACGAGACCTTTTGCAACGTTTGTCTCGCAACGCTACGATGGGCTATGAAAATAGAATGGCGCGCATGCGCATACCGGTATTACAATCAGCTGTCAGTGACCGGCATCTCATATATTATTGTATACTGTGTATTCAATAAACTGTAGTGCTAAATTAATGTTTTGTTTTTTTTTCCAGTTATATTACAGTAAGTGTATTACACTAAGGGTGTGTTCCGAAATATAACCCAACATACTGGCCAGTGCTGATGACGTCATAAATCGACGCCATATTGTACCTACTGGTGTGCCACCATATTGTACTGGTGATGTGATGTAGTAGTATATCAAACGGGCGTGTGTGCATCAGACTTTGAGTAATTTTTTATTGTAAGAAATTTAAATAACTTTTAGAGCAAAATTATTGTAAACGAGCACAAACACTATTGTCAATATGGCGTCAATTTGACATCAATGCACTGGCCAGTATATCTCGGGACGANGAATATTGGTGGGGAGGTAGCTTACAACCAGGAGACGGACATAAAAAATCCAACCTTCAAAGCGGGGTGGGGGGTAAAAAGGTGTTTTTTGTTTGGGACATACTTTATTTGTGGTTGAATTTACTTGAAACTTCGTATATATATTGTTTGATATTATTATTCAAATGAAACGAGGTTGCAACGTTTCCATGGGGTATATTTTATTTGTACTCGGATTTACTCAAAGATTGCTAATTATTGAAATAAGCAAATACGTGTTTTGGCAATTTTTAAAATTCAACCCTTTAGGATGAAATGTTGTTACTACGTTTGTATTTGAAATCTAAGATGGCGACACACAGTCCTCCATCGAAAAAATTAAGAAAATCATAGAAGTAGTAGGAGGTCACGTAGAAAAGTCTATTTGTTATATTTATTAATAATTATTGTTATTCTTATTAATAATACATCACTTTTAACACCCTGTATCTTTTTCGATGGCAAAGTTTTATTAGGTATGCAATGATTTTCTATTCAGGTTTAGAGGATTGAAATGCTCTGAAATTTTCCTCGAAAACGATTGAAATTACCAAATTGAAACAAGTACAACAATTTTACGTAAGAATGATGTTTATATCATGTTTTATAATTAAATGTTTCGTCAAAAAGTAGTATGAGACAATTTTATCCCCAGGGACTACTCATGTGACGCCTCCTGTAAGAAAATGTAATATAAATTTATATATAATATTTCTTACTTAAAGTTCTATCTCTGTGTCAATTTTGAAAACGATTTAATGAAATATTCTGAAATTATAAAAAATGTAGAAAAATGTAATTTAATAAATGATATAGATGTAATAGGAAAAGTGATACTAATAGATAGGAACAGTGAATTGAAATCTATAAATTTGAAGGTGAGAGTATTGTTATAAGTTTACGTCTTGTTTCAACAGATGCCTTTTTGTGCTACAAATGAAAGCAACAGCCTATAAAGTTTTAAATGTGTGGATCTGTGAATCATTCTGACAATTTACACTCATTTTATTAACGAATATATGGAATTATTTAAAAGTTACATACATTTAATTGTTGAAGGTTAAATATTGTTAAAGATGTATGTTTGAAGCGCGGCGCTGTACGCGTGCGAAACATGGACGGTGGGCGCGACGAAAAAGAAAAGGTTAAAGGCATTCGAAATGTGGTGTTACAGACAAATGATGAGGATAGAGAAAGTTAGAAATGAAGAGGTATTAGAAAGAATAGGAGAAACGCGGATTCTATGGAACTTAATAAGAAATAGACGAAATAGGTTGGTAGAACACCTTCTCAGGCATAAAGTGCTAGTCAGAGACATGTTAGAGACAGAAACAGAGTTACGAGCAGTAGAGGTAGACCTAGATTAGATCAGTGTTCGCAAATAGTTAAGGATATGGGGTGTTCTAGTTTTATGGAATTGCGAAGATTAGCTCAGGATAGGAAAGAAGGTGCGTGTCTAACCAGTCTTAGGACTGACGACCTTATGATAATGATGGATTCTGCATCACCTTATAGATAACATTTGTAAGATTTGATATAAAATATATAGGCGAAATCTATAGTCCACCTGATTATTACTGTTTGTGCTTTTTGGTAAGGTTTTCTACGGTTATTACGATTTCATCTTTTATAATCGTGCAGTTATGTGCTATGGTAGCTTGAACTACAACAACCTTCGTCCATATCATAAAGTACGCCGTTAGGGTTCGATCATTCGACCTTCAGCTTTTGTTATATTGGCTATGAAAATATTGCGAAGATTAACTCAGGATAGAAAAGAAAGGAGGTACGTGTCTAACCAGTCTTAAGACTGACGACCGTATGATGATGATGATGATACATTTGACTAGGGTGGGTCAAGGAAAAAGGAGCAATAACCTACTTACTTCTCATTGTTGATCCTATGACGTTTGTTCCTGAATAATAATCTATGAATAAATCATAAGTCCATATGCAATATTGTAGTGGTACTATATACTGAGCTAACTTTTCTAAATCAGATCCTGTGTTACTCTCCAGACGTTCACAGACATTCACCAAATCACCAGGATCCGCAGTTTGAGCTACATCCGCAAATGGCGATGAAAGACTGGTAAGGAAATAAGATCTATCTGGTTCTACTGGACCTTGTAGAGGCTCGCAGGTACTACAAATACCAGATATAAAACATTATTTACGTTTTTCTCTCTACTATAAAGGGTGTAACAGAAATAAGCGCGGAGCATTGGAGGGTGTAAACTAGAAGATGAGATAAAAACTCAGCTGCAGCTAGTTCGATTGAGAATGTAACCAGTACTGGTTATCGAACGTATAAGATGAACAAATAAATTACTACTGAACATAACATTACAATAAAAATAAAAATAAATAACTACATTTCTTCATTGCTGATAGCAAGCAGCACTATGTAAATTACACCTCAAGATGTTTTGAGAAGACAAAATAAAAAAAAAATACAGGTTACTTAAGCGTTAGTAGGAAATTAATGTCATCTGTTTATTCGTAATTTTATTAAGGCAAATTTCCACATCACAAGGTATTGCTAGGCGCGTTACCCTTTTTTGTGGCTGGTTCGCCAATAGCCTAAATATCTTACTAAAAAAAAATATTTGCTTACTGATTTTTGCTTGTAAAGACTTGCCGCCTACATACCTACTTATCAAGGAGTTATTGATTCTGGGAACGGCACTGCTATACACATATATGTACTACAAAATTTGTTTGAAATATGAACCCCGTGTTAGAAAATGTAAGCTTCAAGGCGTTTACCGAAATTATTTCTGAGTTGCCCAAAAACGTCGAATATTTGACGTATTTCATTTGCAGCGAGCATCCATTGTCATACATATCATTAGTTTTGTGCACTGGGGTCTGATGTATGTGTTGTTTCGTAACAACAAAATAAACAACTATCAGATCTTGAATCACACTTAATCTAAACTAACAAATAACACACAATGCATGAGCAAAAGAATACATTAGAAGTACAACATTGATGCTTCCAATTCTCAATTGATTGAATGCAGCGTTGCTTTCTTGCATTTCTTTACCAGGGCCGGAATTAAATTTACCTGTACATTTAACTTCGTATTTCTCTGTAAGGGTGAAATTTCAGATATACAGTTTTACTTAATTTTCTTGTTTTACATTGCTTTATTACTTTCTGCGCGTATCTATTTCTGTTACACACTCCGTTACTAAATGTGCTTCTTTAATTGTGCGAGTAAACATGAATAAAAGAATAACTCACTTAAATAATTCCGACAAAATGGCAGCACCCTCTTGAGTTTCAAGCATTTCCATTGCTTCAACCATGGCTCTGCGGATTAGTTGCGGACAAGTGGGGGATGCAAGGCGTAGATTTTCTTCCACATTAGCAAAATATTCTAGAGAAAGTTGGCAATTGCATATATTTTCATAAATGAAATTTAATTGAAATAGGTTAGGTTCCTACTTCTATTTAAAATGCAATTAATACAATAACGCAAAATAATAATTTTTGTATTTTCTATTTTAAACTAATTTATCGAAAAATTAATTTTTATTTAAATAAATCTTAATTTACGATACAAGTTTATAGGTCAGACAAAAAATTGTAGAGGATATTTTCATTTTCAATTTTTTGACCAGTTTTTAGGGAACAATTTTAATTATAGGTGTAAGTACTAATATATGTATGTTGCTTTTACATTACCTGGGAAATCAGCTTTGGAATATAAAGGACCACTAGAAGAATAAGCAATGTCTATTTTGTGAGGATATTTTATTCTTGCCCATGCTGCTAAACTTCCTGCATATGATGAACCAGCAACTACCACCTAATAAAAATTATACAAACAATACTCACAAATGTTACTTCTGTCATTTTTAATTCTTTTCATATAGTCACATTAGCTTAAGTTAGCTTAAGTTTTGTTTTTGTATATAGTTTGTGTATTTTTTGATCCAGAATAGACGTCTTTATCTGTACATTTTTGATATTTTACATAACGTTATTCAATTTTTTTGTTTTCTCTGCATCTTTTCTTAAAGTACATCGCAATTCGAGCAATACTTTGGGGTGGATAACAGACATATTAAAAATTTCTTCAGTCTACATAACAGTCGAATACTTAAGTTACTTCCCTATCAGTTATTACGAATACTAAAGCTAATTTTTCTCATAGCCAGAAAAGAAGAATTGTTGGACAAAGCTAACGATAAATAAGAATATTATTTTCTTTTGGTTTATGATTTCAGCAGGATACATATGCCTGTATTAGGTTGCTTCATTGTAGCATTTAAACTAGGAAGCCGATTTTGAATAATTCCAATTTAAATCGATTAGTTATTATGGTCCAGGACTACATTTTATAGGAACAAATCAATTTGATGATTATACATTCGAAAAAGAGGGAGTAACTAATTTTTTCTTTTCTACTATCGTATGAGTGGGATGACAAATAAAAAGAGGAGAAGATTGTGGGTTCGTATGTATGCATATACTAGAATGTATGTAGAACATTCAAACATGACAAGCGGCGGCAGAAAAACAGTTTTACTAAATTCCAGTATTTTTTAATCGTTTACAGTTTCAACTTTTCACTGCCTGACCATTTTAGATTTTTTATGTTCAAAGTCAGATACTGATGCTGAAGAAAAAACGCTGCTCCATTCATTAATGGGGCAAAATTTTCGTACATTGGTAATTTTGTAGTTGCCTATTAACTCCTCTATGATATTTATTGAATAATTGTAGGTAATGATTTTTAATCATAACACAGGCCAACGACGAAAAAATTTTTTTAATAATTTTAACTAATTTCTATGTAATTTGGTGTGCTGATTCCGAAAAAAATAACGAAAAAGTCGTATCACCCTCCATTTTCTCACATTTCAATATTAAATAAAAGTAAATTTTATTAACCAAAATGTATAACAAATATTTTTAACCGTTAAAATATTTTTATGTTGGCAATATTTTCTAGTGTTATAGTGTTGACAATAATATAAAATGTAATCAGGTTGGTAGTTCTGATAAGTTGCGCATTTTTTTGTTTCCTTAGCCTTTAAGAAAAAATTTGACACCCGGCCAGAAGAATATTTTGCATACAACTTTGGTTGACC